ATTACTCTTTACGACAGGGCATTAGGTGAAATACTAGACGTATTTCACTTAGTAGGCTGACGTGAAAAAAGAAAGCAGGCAGTGAATAAAGATTGAATACAATGATTAGAATTTTAGCCCCAGCTTAAATGGGTTAAGTGCCGATTTGTGTTCCCCAGATCTTTCGCAGTGACGGATGATTGCTTATGCCACTGTTAGCGTAAAAAACAGGTTGAGAGAAAGGCAAACCGAGGGCGTCGATTCTGCAGTGGATAACAGGTGAACCCCCTGAAAGGGTAAATGGTAAATCAACGCTATGTTGAATGAAAACCATCCTAAACCGAGAATTTTTAGCTTCGGAAAATCGCATAAATAGCTGTTAAAGATTTTGACTTATTCATCCCATCGATCTGTGCATCGGCTTTGCCATACCACACCGCCTTCGGTCGGTACACCGTCCACTGAACAAAGAATTAGCTGCCTTATTGAAAGATTTTGATTCAAAAGGTGGCAAACTTTCCCCGATATAATTCCAGTAATCGCTTGCACTGAGGACCTAAGAACAATGTAGTATCATAAGTTTTCAGCGAAAATTTGCTCGACCAGCATTCAGCACGTCTATTAGAGGGAAAGTTCATGAAGCCTCAACTCGCAATCAAACCCATACAATAATCTGACCATCCCTGCACAGGAATGTTGTAATATAACGAAGGGATGGAAAAATGGCCATAACTCTCAAAAAGATGGGTCATTTTTGTTGCCAAGTAAGTGACTTACTTGATCGATTGATGAGTGTTAACACACTGTTCCTGTCTTCAAATTAGCCGTAATCTTCCGATGCTTTCGTGTGCCCAGTTCAATGACGCTCTTGCTGCCAATTGCACTTCTATGAAATAATTAGGTAAGCGGGCAAAAAATTCAGTAATGTAGCAGGTATCTCAAGAAGCTTAGAGCCAACTAAGTAGCACTGAAAAGTGCAGACTACGTAGTAAGTGTTGTTTGCTAATAGCTCTTTGTTTCACGTAAACAAAGACTTTTGTATGATTTTCTTACTGATTCTACTTGAAGTGTTATAAACTTCCCAGTAGAAATCATGCTACCATTTCCCTAGATTACGGCGGCAATGCAAACAAGTTTGATGTATTGCAGTATCGATCAAGATCAACCCAATTCATTCGTTTACTCCTTTTTACATTGTTTTTCTTCTACGACTTTAAAATCGTGTTCCTCGTGGGTCCACTGATGCAGTGTGCGCTGAAAAACCTAATTCTATTCTGCTGCAACTACTGTATCCTTTTATTTCTCGGTTTTGTAAAGCTCGAAAAGTTCAAATTTGGCCTACAAGCGATCTCCTTAACATTGAGACATTAGCGGATTGGACTTCTCAGCTGCTTGAAGTCCAGAGGACTCCGCTGCAGCATGAAGGATGCCTCACTCTCGTGTGAGGCCCAATCAAAGAATCCCCAAAGCCTTTGCGTACATGTTGGATATGTACAGAGACCACTAGTAAAACTTTATGACAGTGGACATAAGACGTGATGAGGTGATTCCAATCGCCTCCTATGTACTCAGTCACTGTATTTTTTGCCTTAGCCTGGAGCAACGTACAAGGCACTGCACGAACATACTGTCACACTTGTGTTCCGGATATGATTACGCGTGTACAGAAGGAAACTAATCTCACTCACATGAAAAACACGGAAAATCATTCTAACTTTTAGTTCATCAAGTAGGAAGATGCCAATGAACATCACAACTGACTTGCTCGATATTCTTCACTCGACAAATATTCATTGGAATCCAGACGTAATATTTTCTTAAGTGGTAAAGCTAATGTGAGGATGCTATCAAACTTTATTCTGCTAACGTTTCAACGTATTCATCTCCCTCACATCCGTAATGATTTGTATCGATTGCACCGCACCACCTGTGCGTCCTCGCGATAACGCTCTTCGTAGTTGCATCGAGTTGGATGTTCTGGAGCGTAGCACTGCTCGAATGAATAGTGATACCAAGCTCTAAGCATAACACTACCAATGTTCGCTGTTTCCTTCATAAGCACACAAGAGGTTGTTATTATACTCTTAATTCACTAAATCTGATGCTTCGAAGGATTTTGCCTTCTTCAAAGCCTGGAAAAGCCAAGTTGACTGCGAATTACTCCCACTGTTTTTCACGTATCGTTTGGAAAATCCATAATTTTGTTGTAGTTAAAATATGTCGAAGAAATTCTTACTTCCAGGAAATGCGATTACTTATTCTTATTGGTGTCGTCTCATTCTGTCAGTGGTGTCAATGTAGGGATCTCGTAGCGATGGGATGCAACCGCGATCCAACGCTAGCGTTCTGCAAAGTTCATGCAGCCAAGACGGCGGTCGCTAGCAGTAACGAAATCACAGAAAAGGACAAGGTAGTCTGCAACCATTAGATCAACTTATGTTCAGATACCCGAGATGGAAACCTTTCCCATTATGCATTAGTTTATATAGGGGTCACAGGTTTAAGATACCTCCTACCTTTACTACACTTGTCAAATAAATCAGCATTGATTTCCTCCTCCCTCGGCCGACAGAAAGCGACAAAGTACATTATTAAATCCAAGGAAGGACGTACAAACCCGTCCTAATCTCCACAAGCAACATTTCTAACTGCTGGCTACTGTTCACTAAACTCTGCTGAATTAAATCTCGCAAAAATCTCCAAACTTGCAAAGCTGAGAACGTTTGACAAAAATTCTCTACGCAGATGTTTCCAAATTCTTGGCAGGATATTTTTATGTGGTTGCTAAATGCAGATATCCCCGCTTTTTTATGTCCTTATGAAATATTTTTATCCTGCTTTTTTTCTCAGATCCTTGGTTCACTACTATTAAATGAAAACAGCACTAGGCGCTTTCGGTGGGATTTGGTTTGCTGATTCCCAAATGACTTTGTAGCCATCCGAGCTAATGAGGAGAACAGACGACAGATGAACGAAAAGAACAGTAGAGTGGACTCCAAGAAAATGCAAACGTCCCCTTGGACGACCACCTACGCGTTGGGCGGACGTGTTCGTAAACAAAGTTAATCAGTTGTACCTGCAGCTGTAGTTGTTTTACAGATCACGGTATGAGACTCGTAAGCGCTACCATGCTCGAACAAGACCACCACCAGGGACTACGATTGCGAGAGAAAGGAACGAATGGCATATATACTGGGGTCCGCACAGTGAAGACGGACTATCAAAGTATCCAAGTATCCAAGAGCCCGCAGCTTTTTGCAGAAAGTGTCGCCCATTTTCGTAACCTCTATGTGGTTCTGAAATTTGAAAATCTGATAAACCAAAGTTCGTTGGCAGCGATCTGGTCTGGGCTCACATGGAGCCGTAAGTTCTGTATTTCCTAAGAAAGCTCGCGACTTACCACTGAGTATCGGGATTCATTTCCCTAATTTTGCTCGCAGTCATCTTTAAAGTAACACTACTAGCAACACATTGAAGAAATAGCCTGATGAGAAAAATGACCAGGGATATGTGATCGGAACCCTTTGGCGGCGAATGGTATAAACTCATGCACACTGCTACAACTAGTGACGACAATCAATGAGCAGAATTATTTCTAATTCACAGATCTGTTCATGATCAAATGCGAGTTTGTTATTAGAGCATTCATTCACTCAGATTAGCTGACCCTTCCAGATTTCGTCTTGTTCAGACCCTGGAAGAGTTAAATTGTTACGCAACCTAATCGGTCAAACACCTCCGTAACCCCACCAGAAAATTCAATTTCTAAATTCTTATCGCATAGTAAACAACATCTTTTAAACACTCACCGTTTTCTTCGTATTTTTGTTGAGCAAACGCGAGGTGTTATTATTCTTTGTTCACGATTAAGCTGACGTTTCGGCGGATTTCGCCTTCCTCAGAGCCGCTTCCTATGAGGTTTCCACTAAGTATGTCACGTAGAGACCAACCGCACAGAAATCACATGGAAGTATAATCACCGTTTCACCATAATCGCCAATCACTCACCGTTTTGTTCTTTGTCTTTCAGCTATTTACGTCGCACAGATGTTCACAAAGTTGAGAAGTGCGCGCGGCCCATGCCAAAAAACGATATGGCAGACGGCGCGTGATCACGCCTGAGCACAAGAAAACGCCTCGAGAGTTTGTTGGCATTTGGATTCCTGTTCGAGAATAGTAACCTTTACTTCAAAACCTTCTGCGTTATTCTCTGTACCATGCGCGTCTAATAGAGTACTTTGTTCGACTTTACGCCCACCATCTAGGTCTTCTTCCATACAGAAGCAGATTTACCTACCCACTTCGCTAATGTATTCTTCCCCACACCCTTCACAAGAGACTAGGTGCACCGTGATCGAACCCATGCAGTCGGCATCTCTACCGTTAGAAAACATTACACAATTTTGCATTTCGCGTGGATAGTCAAACAAACTGCTACGAACTAGCTCGTATCCTAGAATGTTCAGTAGTACGTCAATCATTGCTACCGATTTCACTAAATCGGCCCTTTTTAAGCAGCGTTTTCTCGTTTCAGTTCTATTGTTGGAAATGAAGGGCAGGACGAACGAGACCCTATCTTCACTGGACTCAGTTTGGATAGTGGTCTTTCCTCTGAGGCTATTTCGAGTATCTACCGTTTCAAAGCAATTGGAAGTGGCTATTTTTCGAGCCAAGTCCATTTTCCATCTTCGGTTCTCTGCGTGTGCACACACGGGCGGCAGCACGAAACATGTTTCTCACGATCGCTTTTTCATTATGCGAAAGATGAGAATAGAGGCAAAATTATTTCTATGTCTCTCTTCTCGCTCTCATTCCCATAGGTTAACGAACGCAAAAACACGAAAATTCTTGAAAACGACATTTTTAGGATAATATGGTTGACAAGGCGAAAACGCCCTTCGGTTAGACCTTATGAAGAGATTGTTGAGTTGGACAGGCATTTAGCCCAATAACGAAAAGAATACTATGTTTTTCAGGAAGCCTGTGCAGAACTGCGTCTGGAATACGTTAAAGTATGCGCAATGACCGGTCAGCGCAGGCTGGATGATAAGGAAAGTGAATTCTGTCAAGCGTTTGAAAACATTTGCTTCCGCATTCCGAAGGATGAACCGGACCAGGCTACTGTTCCGTCAGTAACATATCTTGACTCTTAAGTGATCGCCTTTGCTTTTTAATACCAGTGACACTCATTACTAATCAATTACCGTCAAGGAAGAAAAAATCCAACAACAATACTTGTAGAACAGCTTTAATAAGAGAATTGGCGCCTATTGATGTCGAATCAGAAGAGAATAACGAAAGAACCACTACTAGAACGTAAGTACCACGTGGCAAGGTAATGCAATTGATGATGTTTGGAAAATTGGCTTACAAATAAAGACGCCTTTTACTTGACCACGATATCAAGTCGATTTTTTTGTGTATCGTAAGCTCTTAACGCCACCACAACGTTCGTCGCTAGAGCTACGTTTTTTCATCCAACGAACGAATGGTGCTACGAGATCTGTATTGTTTCTGCTATGCTAATGTTTTACTACTTCGTCCATCTTTCTCTTACTATCCATTTCCCCACTTTACAACCTGACAGTCTAAGCAGGATCTTAGTTATTATTCATTTTTACACTGTTTCAGTTCTATTCTCAACAGTTATGGATTCTCACATTATACGTCATTTCAGACCTGAGAATAAAAAGAAGAAACGTATCGATTTCACGAAATTCTGTAAGGAATTCATGAATCGTTATCTCTTTGTCTGTCCGAACCCATTCAGATTCGGCCAAAAAGTGAGTGTTTTTGATTGACATTAGCTTATTTTCTGAAAATATACGCTATCCTCTTAATGGCTTGCTGCTTCACCGTGACCTAGGAGGGTTGCTCGGTGTTCACCTCTGACGTGCAACGCGGGTTCTTTCCCAGAACAGTCATACAGGCAGAGAACCAGCCCAGCATTTCTAGCCCGAAACGCAGTAAAGCCTAAACATGTGAATGTTGCAAAGTACCTATAGCTATTTCCTAGTTAAAACACTAAAAGCGTGGTCCTCTTGTTTGTTAGCCAGGGGCGCCCATGGAGACTCGGTGCGCAGAGAGAGCTATCTAGGATTGCTGGTGTTCCCCTGGGTTTTTCGTAGGTGAACGGGGTTATTTGTCGTTGTAGCGAAGAGTTCGCTGGTTGTGTGTGATGGAAGTTTGGCCACGCGGATCTTCTTGATTTGCAGCGATTTGCCACCCCTAAAACTTGAGTTTTTTTGCCACTCCTAAAACACCCCTAAAAGTTAAAGCGTTTACACACATGACATTTAAAAAACAATCCAATGAGATTCTAAATGTATGTACAAATTACAATTAAGGTGGTTTGATGGGCAGTAAATGCACACCTGGCCTTTAATAATGACTCGCGGTGGTCTACCGATGTATCGAGCCAATGCTGCTATCCTCTCAGACAAGTGTTGGACCAATTTGCTGACTCCGGGGGATGGAAGGTTTCGTGAGCTATAGGTGCAAGGATCGATCCCATGTGTATTGTGCAAGGTGCCTCCGATTACTGAGCTAAACATGCCCTGAGCAGTAGTAATATAGGTATCAAATTGCATAAATAATGACTATTCAAGGGGTTTATGAGGATATGATATATAAATAGGAATGCTGTTTATGTGACAATATTGGTAATTGGTATGACTACGACAGCGTAGGAATTACTTGATCACTGACAGAATGTGATAGGCGAGGACAGGTTTGTTTTAGCAATGAGGTGGATTCTGCTGGGAGAGTACTTATGAACAGTGTAAGTGTTACAGACAAGCGTTGAATTAACAACCACTATTAACTATGTGAAAATTGACAAAACTTTCTTTATTGATAGCAATAGCAAAAAAAGACTTTACGACCTTATTACAACCTAAACAGATGACTTAGTCTGGCTATGGTGAATTTCCTAGGGTACTTATAAAGGGTGCAAATATTTGAGGTGGCTAGATTAACAACGAGAAGTGATTACATGAGGATTGATGATAACCTTAATATGTTGATAATGCAAGAGCATAAGGCCTTAGTTAACACTATTTTTGCCTATGTGAAACGGAGCAGTTGTGAAAGAAGATGATTAAGTAGGAGGGTTGTGATGAGGAAGGGCAACGGGGAGCTCGACACCCTGCCAGAAGGCAAATGGTTGTGCTAGGGGACGTGGCTACATCCAAGCGAATGGCTTGGTTCGCAGGGTCAAGTCTCCAAGCAATGAGCCGTGCCCGGTAGGTAAAGAGTTGCCGTAACTGGTGGCGCGCCCGATGGTTAAGAAGGGATTTTAATGTAAGGCAAGCACGTGGACATTATGTCAAGTGTTTTATAATGCAGTTGTTTAGATGAGAAAGTTAATAAATATGAATAGATGATTTATAAGGGAGATGTTAAAGTGGAAGATAGAGGATATTTCTCGTGGAATATTCTCTATAGTCGTACACCTGATAAGATGTTATTTTCGTTAAAAAATTCTTAAAATTTTGGTTACTTTTAAAACATTTTTGGAGGTCGAAGGACTCAAATACTAACGAATTCAAGTTATCAGGTTACTAACGTGTTTATTAATCTATTATAAATACAATACACTAGTCCAAGCATAGTCAGTTCTTAAGTTCATTTCCTGATTTTACTGTTACAAATCAATATTTTTCAGGCGATCGCCATTTAAGCTCGGCATTAATAATCAATAACTCCTTGGCTTATTAAGCTAGCACGAAGTTGACAAAAAAGTTTATTCGGCTAAGGTTTCAAAGGTTTCGTTTTCCTCAGAGCCGACGATCTAAGTCGATGGCCCGTACTCGTTCGTCTTCCCAATGTGGTATTCTCGTGTTCGCATATCTGTCGTATCCAAGTCGAATCCTCTTCACTGAAGCACGGCTCGAATGAGGCAACCTCACCGTGCAGCATTCTTTTATAAACAGCAATTGTTGCTGTTCATGATTGTGTGTCAATAATGATTTGTTTTTCAGCGGACAATTCATTCTGCAGCTGTCGGTACTAAGTTAGCTAGCATAGCAAGTAGTAAATGGATATTTTTTAAACCAGACGTCATTTAACCTCGGCATTAATAATCAACACCTTCTTGGATTAGTAACCTGACAACACGAGATTGATAGAAATGTTAATTCGGCTAACACTTTTCTTCGTCTTTTAGCGGGCAGTCATTACCAACAACAACCATTCCATATGAAAAAGTGCTGCCGATTGAGTTTGCCTCAGAAATGATACAACGACGAAGACGCCACGTTGAGAACACGAACGACTGTTGACCATGGTCGGGGGTCATCTGCTCTTAAGAAGACCAAGACATCAAAACGATAGCCGGGCAAACATTTTTATCGTTCTATCGTGCTAGCTTAACGACCAAAAAGCATTTATTTTTCAATATTAATCGCTAAAATAGCTTAGGAAACCGCTTCCAAATCTTCATTCTAGGCATATGTGGATTGAAAGGAGTTTTGCTTCCGTATAATAGAATTCTTTCAGCAGCAGCGGGTGACTCATGCAGTAGGCTGACCAACCGGTCGAAAATCACATAACAGTTCGAATCCTGTGCAAACAATGGTCTTAGAATGAGAACTACACAATTTTCAGCGTAAAAGGTGACAGAAAAGAAACAAAGTGCTCGTGTTGCGAACAACGACGTAAATACAGTAAAAATGGAATGTTTTTTTAAAACAACAATGCGGTGACAAGACAAGAGCCAAGGTTTTCGGGAAATAATAGCTCATACATTTCAGGCAGTCGTTTTTTGTCCAATTTACTCCGAACGATGTCATGTTCCACTACCCAACCGTCCAGTGGTACCCACAAGAAAGCCTCCACCCGGACGACGAAGCAGCGCAATTGAACGGCTCTGTAGAAGTTACAGGTTCGTTGTAAAACTATTTCTATGCATTGAAATTTCCAGGGCATGTTTAACAAGGAGTACTAACAGAGCCCTATTACATAATGCAGTACACCTCAAATGTAGGGATAGACCGATCCTAATCTTGCGTGTTTGCTATGATTTTTTGAAGTTTAATTGCCCCATCCCCGAACTACATTTCCGCTAGGAAAAATAGACCCTGGAATAAAGTGCTCTACACATTCTGTAAACTACTAATACTATTGAATTAAAGATCTCAAGTAGACTAACAGTATTTCGTCGCTCTCTTCCCAGTATGAGCACCATTTAGCTAGATGTTATTAATGACTGGTAAATGAAGTTGTGAGGAAAATATGTTAACGTATAAGCGATGGCATGTGGGACAACGTCAATTTTTTCACCACGAGCAGTGTGTCATGGGTGGCTCACAGTAACCAAAGCACTCTTTCCCTCCACCGACCAAGATAGAGAAGTCAAATACCTTTCGCCCGGGTGGTTGTTTTTCTCAGTGAGACGAATGAAACCAATAGATAATTTTTTAGAGATTACGATCCGTACAGAATGGCCCTTTTCGGCAAGCATCTAACTTCTGCATTGTGGTAGAGTGCCGAGTAAATGGGAAAAATGCAGCGAAAAATTCTGTGTCGTAAAAGAAACGAGCAGAAAGGAAATGGCTAGTATAGGATTTATAGCAGTTATTTTGTGTTATGAGTTTTATATGAATCGTATCGACCACTATGTGTTAAGAAATTGAAGAATTTTTCTAACCACTTGTTTTTTCCTCAACTAGGTTTCTTAATGAATTAGTGCCACTTTTTAAATAACTGTAAATTACTATGCACTTCTGTAGAGCAATGTATTCCACATTCGCTGAAATTACGGAAACGAAAAGAAAAAATCACGCTGATAAGTCAAATGAAAAACTGGAGTGCGAACCATTTTATTTAATGTCCGCGGTGATTTTAATGCTCTTATCATTTGTTTTGCTGCACAGACTTTCTCCACGATCTGTAGTTTACGATTCTTTTGTTAAACTGATAATTTCTCTACTCAAGATACGCTTCGCATGGTCGGAAAACAGTTGCTTTGTGTAAGCTTAAGTTTGTAAAAAAAAAAGCCTGGCGACCAGCTCACTTCTCTCCTGCGCTTGCAGCATTTCCTTGTTTAACACATTTATTACAATGAGCATTGACTATGAGTAATTTATGGAGGACTAAACATATTGGAGATCTGAGGACTGGACACAACAAAATTCGTTCCATAGTTTGAAGAGCATAGACATTTTTTCGAAGGTGTTGCTCTCAATTTAAGTCTTTCCTTTTAAATTAAGCTTTCCAAAAATCGCGGTTGCTACAATGACCAACGATTGCGTTACAGTAGAGGAAATCCCACTTGTCTGTTCGTAACTCCAGATACGAGCTTCGAAAAAAGGAAGAAGGACGATTTGTGTGCTCCAGCAAATTTCTCGTGGTAGCAAGAGAAACATGCATATTGTTGGTAAATATTTGTAAGCTGTAATGATTTTTCCGAGAAGTAAGATTGTTTAATTTTTTCGTCTTATCTTAGAAAACATGAGGACAACTTAGCGCTAGGATGCATTTCAAGTGCCATGATATATGTAAACTATATTGTGAAAACCAAGTATCCTGGTAGAGATTGTGAAGGACAACGTAGGTACAAATGACGGTTTATCCTGTCTTCAATTCATAGCTGTGAAGAAGCTGTAGATAGTACGGACATGAATCTTGTATACGTCATAGCTCCTGACCATTCATAGTTCTGGGAATAAAGTACTGTGGGTTTAGTTACTCCGTCTACCAATACCACTTTCATAATCGTAAATGATTTCGATGACGTGTTTCCTGTAAAATTAGTTTAAAAATCAAGGCCCGCGAATATGAACAATTGTTCGAGATCATAACATAATATCAGTTTGAATTAATAAAGTTTTGCATCGGTAAACAAAGCTCTAATTTCAGAGGCTTCGCCGAAACCTACTGCAGTAATCCTTTCGCGCTCAGTCAGTCACGATATCGAGAAGGTTGCGAGAGGTATTGGCGATTTTGTGTTCCAAGAAATGGATGATCGAAATATTAGAAAGCTGTAAATACTTGCATAAACCTCTGATTTTAATCAACGTGTAATATTTCCTTAGCAAATGCATTTGATGAATCTTAGAAAGTCATTCATCTGCGGTTAACAGCAGTATTTGTTTGTACAATAACACAAGTGAACGGTTTAAAGCATGTAGCAACAAATTCATTTCTCACGATAGTTTAGTGCCCCATCATGGCAACAGAATATTGTCAGGTGCCGAAATTTCATATAGAGTAGGATTAAATTCACAAAGGTCAACTAAAATCCAAGGAAGTTCTAAGGGTGCTCCAACTCTAGAAATTGCCATCGGGAGAAATTTGGCTATTTAGTGGCAGAACTCCCCTTTAATCGCAGTGGTACGCGACTGTCTTTATTTGAAGCAATATGAATAACATTGGAGGCTTCCATGTTTCTGAAAAAAGCTGAAAAAGTGCTGACGTACCACTAAGTCGAGATTATTTTGTACAGCCCGAGCCTATGTACGAAATGATACTCCAGTGAATTTGAAGAAGAGTTTAGCTACAGGAAATTCCCGAAGCTATTTGACATCATCATCTGCACACATCAGCTTTATTTGCAAACAAAATTTTACTTTTTGAAGTATAATCCTTTGAGGGATGCGCTGTGATTCGACTTCGTGAGGAACCGCTAAAGGTCATTGAATGCATATCTGGTTTATAAAGTTATTCCCAGTGAATTCCATTACAATTCTCATGATATGAGTTAAACATCGTACCATTTACTTCCATTAATGAGTGTGAGAAACATAAATTTTATAGGATACGCTTTAGAAAAATACTTAACAGCTAACAAGTAGCACAGTGCTCAATGAATTGTTACTATCGCACACCTACGATCCACGTGTTTGGGCAACAGAGCTGTCCATATCGGCGTATCAGTAAAGAATCCGACTTAAGAAGAACAAGAACTTTACTTTGTTAAGAAATCGACGCTGCAAATGACTAGGTTTGACGATTTCGAAAGTAGTGGTTGAAGAAGGGCGCAATCTTGAAAGGGTAAAAGAAATTAAGCAAAACGTTCAGTCAAAGCAGTGCATCAAGCAGTGAGCTGGTTATGACCGAAAACACAAACCACTTAAAATCCACGCCTGTTTTACTGCTGTCTTGTTGTGAAGAATCAGATCATGAGCAATGCAATTAATCACACACTGATCCGGTTTTACACCTATGCTGTTGCGACACCGGCGATGTTTACACTGCACATCCACAGTCACAAAATGAACCATGCCATTTTCGCAATCCTCTTAACTCTGGAAACTTCCAATGCACAAGGAGCTTATTACCCAAATCACTGGTACGGAGCGAACTCGGTGAGCCAATCCTTTACACTTCAAAGCACTTCCAGATTGGGATGAGATACCATCGTCATTCTACTGGAATACCAGCCTTCATCTTGCCAGTTTAGCAGCTTGAAGGGTGTAGTACATAACGGCAGCAGCAGGTTTACAATAGCATACGTAGGAACTGAATGATATAACATCTAAGTAATGTAGGCCAACGTTCTATCAGGAAGCGTTCCTGAATGGGGATCGTCACCAATACTCAATGCTGGGACGTTGGCACCTCATGTTTGTGGATTCAATCCTTTTATTAGGTTCGTCAATATACGGCATTCGTTCTTTGAATACGAACTTTTTACCCGCCTTTTTAATCACACACTATTCACTAGCGTAATAATTTCAGAAAGTGCATGGACCCAGGAAACCACTGTCCGGGCCGATGCATGAACTTTAGATATACGTATAATACGCTATACGATTGCAGATGTCTTGTGGTAAATAAACAGTGAGAATTTCATAGAATGCTTCGCATAAGAAAGATAATACCGACCAGTCAGAAATGCAATGTAGCAACCAGACACTTATCAGACCATTATTAATTATAAATATATGTTATGTAATAAAAACATCTGCTTTGATAGTTGCCTTTTTGAGAGCTCATCATGATCTTGATATGTTAGCGGAAGAGAAATCCGACCGAAGCCATGAGTAATTCAACAACAGTGAACAGCATATGCAAATCTTTTAACAAAAGCTCTAAGAAAAGATTACCTCACATCCTTAGCTACATCATCTATGAAGCTGTTCGCCATTGAATGACTCCAACAGCAGTTCTAGTAAAATATTCATTCTCTGCTAAGAGAAAGCTTTTTATTTTATTTTATTTGATCCGTCTTCAAGTCTATTGTCCGGATCCCAGCACTTCTCACATGCCATTCGTTTCCTCGCATGCATCGTCCAACAAGGTCTTCCAAGTTTTTCCGTGTTGCTTCGGTTGCCGCTTGAGAATTTCCATTTCATCTTGAATGTCGTCGGATGCTCGTCGGGCAATTCTCCCAGGAATCCTAGGATAGCCGGGCAAGAGGGTTCCCAGCTGGATTGCAGAGAGTGGCTTTTTCCCAGTTAAGTCTGATACAGATTTCCCTACCCCGGAGGGATGAGAGACTTGGTTGGCCCGGAGCGGAATCGAACTAGCACTATGCTCGTGATAACGGACATCACCACCACTGGGCTAATGGCCCCCTTGACAGGAAACTTACTTACTACCTACTTCATACTTAAACGGCCCGTCCACAATGATTGTGCAGGCCCCAGCACAATCACCATTTTTCAGAGATTTGCCGGTTAAGCCATTGTGGTTCTCTGGAATCCCGAGGTCAGCCCGGCCAAAGTCTGCCCCAGGTCGTCACCAGCACAGGCAGTCGCACCCCTTGTGGATCAGAGGGAGATTTACCACCATGCGACTTAGAAACCAGGACGGTGGTGGATCCCGGTATTGGTTTGTTCTTAGCTAGGCTTCCTGATGGAAACGCCGGACTCCTTATCAGCTTGGGAGACCCTGCCGGGGGACGAATCCCACCGCCGTACATCGCAGGCGACACCTTCCAGCCAGGATGAGGGGGTAAGCCGTTGGGAGGTGAAAGAAAACTAGTGGTAATATGATAAATAGTCAGCTTCTTGCAGTTCTTTCACTGCGTTTTAAACTTCTCGGCGTTTATAGAATCATCCCAAATCCTGGAATTAACAAACGGTTGACGAAACTACGTCTAAATACAAGAAAAAAGGAAGGGAAACACACGTGGAGGAACACCTATGAAGCAGCGAGCCGAAAACAAAAGCGGTGAAGAATTACATTCATAAACACACGACCAACGAAAGAATGTAATTCACGTTTAAAAATAGTAAGCAATTGAAGGAATAGTTCTAGAGAAAATGTAAGCGTTTATTTAGAGAACATGAAACACTGGAAAGACCTTTCAACCATTACTTATGAAATTATTAGAATTAAAATGCTCAGTGAAGTATAGAGTACTAGGAATTACTGAAAATCAAACGCTAAGAGGTGGCGGAACGAGCTACATCCTCATTGGGAATGGATCAAGACAGTCCATGGACGTCCACAGCGTGCTATGTAAACTTTTCCTTACTCTGCACTTGCAGAACCAGAGAGTATTCATAAACGCTGGCCTTCACACTACCCTTGAGATGGCAAATCACGTCAAATTCTACGTAATTGTCTCATAAATGACCAAAGGTGGGAGACCGATATATTGCCATTAAATAACGGCACACAAGTCATTTGTGGAGAAAAGATCCATTCACGAAGTGTTGCTGATACTTATACATGATACAAGGTGATACAAATAATACTTACTGGGGCAGGGATTGAACTAATATTGAACTAAATAAATAGAATACACATACGAAATACAGCAAAGCAACCCCAAAAAAATGTTCGGTCTAATCAATAATTTTCAATACGACTGAGCTGATAGGTTTGAAAGCCCAAATCTCTTAGTTAACAAATAAACAATAGCACAGCACAGAAAATTTAGCGTGGTGGCCGAGTGGCACGCGATGATGCGCATTGCACAAACGAGAAATCGCTTGTATTCGATTGGCGACACCCACAATGAAGATCCTTAGGCCGGAACTGGTTAGTCAGCCTTATTCTCTGCTGTAGATGCCTCATAGAACGTGGAGTGGTATGTATACACGTCGCCATACTTTTAAACACGACCGCCATCAGGCATAATGTTTGACAGGAAATATTTTCGTGGAAAACGCATGGAAAGTATACAGCCGCTTACACTAACCGCTAGAAGGCGCCGTCCAAGTGTCCAATTATAAGCTGAAAAATTTGGAAACAATTGATCATCTGAGGAAACCGCAAACACTCGAACACGAAGTTTCTGACACAAATTGAAGAACAACATCATGTCATGCTGGACGAAATCCCACTTGATCATTTGATTTCGTGCTTGAAATTGGTGACCTTCTAAGCAACAAAATGAAGTATGTTATGGGTTCCTAGAAATCAGAGATTCGTCATAATAACAGATGAGAACGTTCGTCGCTTCGGGAAGACTTTGTAGACTCAAATTGTTCTCAACACAATGAACCTCACTACAGGCTATTTTAACTTAAATTCAAAGCGGCCTTATTTTCGCATCATATGATTTCTACAGAAGTCATCTCGTTGCATAATCCTCAGCGCATAGGATTTGGGCACATTCCTTGAATAAATAATTCACCTGAAGTGGAATTACTTCATTCTCCAAACTTCTTTCGTCTTAATTCAGTCGCAAAAAATGGAAATGATGAGATTTTAACGAATACTGTAACCATAATGATGCTGGCATGTGAGTAAAGCTCGGAAACTCAGATGCGCTTTGAACACGACGAAATTAAAAGCTCTAAAAGCTTTCGGCGCTGATCTATTCCTGAGAGATGCGCCAGGGATTCGACTTCATTAAGCATTGTTTAGTGGTGATTGGGTGCATATTTTATCTTTGCGACTCGCGGTGACCTACCAATGTACCGAGTCAGTCAGTAGCATCCTCCCAGACAAGTCTGGTAGCAATTTACCTACCCCGGAGGGATGGAAGGGTTGCTAAGCCATGGGCGCGGGTATCAACCCCACGTATGTATTCAGGACGTACTTCTGGCCACTGCGCTATAGGCGCCCATTACAGAAAAAATAATGGCCAATAAATAAGAATTAAACACTATGACCGTTCCAGTGTTTTGAGGAAGAGGATTAGGTTTTTTTTATTGCTGATGGCAAAGAAATCGATAGAACCTGCTGAGAGACAGACGAAACGAAGGACCTTCATGGTGTGGTGGTGAACATGTTACTTCCTGGAAAGCACAATAGCGCGTTCGTTCCCACCGCAGACACCTGCAGTCCGGAGTTTTGCAAATGCCTCAGCATCATTGGAAGAGGATCAATACGTTCGAGGTGATGCCTGTTTTTTCTGCTACCGTCGACAATTTTTCCAGTAAATGGAGTGAGTGGGAATCTAGAGACTTCATGACTTTATACAAGCCTTAGGTATATTGCCTCCAGGGCTCAAATAGTTTCTCCGAATTTCAATTTTATAAAACAAAAATAGTCAAGAGGAACCACTTATAAGCTCCGAAGGAACAAATCTCAGCAATGAAAAACAGAAACGTGTACCATACTAGTAAGAATCTCCAAATTGTAAAAGTTTTACTTGAATTAATACAGCTCTTTACGGATGAAATATCTCCGGTAGAAGTTGAATGGCCAAACTATGCTTGAACGTGTATGAGTCCCATATAACTCATATGGTGGCGGATGCATTGAAAGCAGTGACCAAATTAGAAATTGGCGCAATTTACTGGAAGAACATTTATTCGCGTGACGTTAAATAGCGTAAAAAAAAGTGGGCGAGTAGCGAAATACTGTTAAAATGTGCACCAAATGGAAAATGGTTAAGATTCACACGTGGATTACAAAGGAACTCAAGTCCACTCATAGCAAACACGTCTACCCATTTTTTACTCGAGTTGGAGAAGTATTACTCATTGGACTCGTCGTCGTAGGACTACTATAAAATGGTTGTTAACGAGAAATTCAGTTATCATTTTTTGGAAGTCAAGAGAATGATTTTGGCCTAGATATATATAAGGGATATATTTACAACGTCTTGAAGCATTTCACGTCAGAGCTTATATTAGCGCACATCTTTTCGCCTGCCTTATTTGAGCACCATATCGATAGTCCTCTTTCAACGCTAATATGACCTTCTGTTGAGATGGACAATGCCTGAAAAGAGGTGATTGAAGAAAATTCCATACCATATTTGCTGCTCCTTGTATCTGCACAGTGACTAACAACAACTATAAGGATGTGAGACAGAGTGGTTGCAAAAAAAGGAATATTGAGTTTAAACGCATACAAAACCCCTACAAATTCTAAAGTGAGATGGAGAAATCTAAACTTACGAGCGAGTATGATTGTCGTATCCGTCAGCACCACACAGTGAGCAGGGTCTCAACGCAAAAAGCACAGGGCATGCTGTCTTAGTGTGGCCAACAAAAGGCCTACCGACGCCCTTGCAATACGCACATTCCTGTGAGTACAACAGTTCTCTCGCTTCAGTGAAACAACAATCCAACGTAACCATCTTCAAGAATCGTAATCACCGCTTACCTCGAAAAGTGCTTTTTCATCACTTGACAGCACTTTAATATCACGGTATCTGAGCTAAAACAGTGAGTTCAAAATAAATCTGCTGTGAAGTCACATTTTTAATCACACCTTCGGAAATCAACCGAAATACAAGTGTATTCTAGAAAGTCGTTAAATCATCTTATCGGTTTGATATCCGAACAACATATACAGCTTTCTATTTCGTCTTCATCTAATTTTTGTTGAATAGAGTTTCTATTCGCACCCTATGGGCTCCACTTCTTAACTCTCTTCGATTTCCAAGACCGCTTCCTTTTGAGTTATACACGTGCAAGTTTTCCTAAACGACCCATGTTAAGAAAATAATTGCAAACTTCGCTACAAAATATTTTTTAGTGTTCTGTTCCATAAAAGATAAAGTGTAAAGCTCTCTGCACTGACCAATGCCTGTGGGATATGTCACACATTAGACGTCACCAAACATCGCAAAGGTCACTAGATGGATATCTTGCTTGTGGTGACACATCAATGTGTCAAGTCAGTGCTATTATCCTCCCAGACAACTCTGGTACTAATTTGCTGACTTCTAAGGGATGGAAGGTTTAGTGAGCTCACGGCGTGGGATCGAACCAAAGACCATGTGTACATTACAGAGGTCCTATAACCACTGCGCTACACATTTTCGTTTTCTTGCATTCCAATCATAGCTGCAACATAGACAACCTTCGTTTTCATTTTCTACACAGGCAAAGTAAGTCATGCACGGCACTGGTGAATATGAGAGCAGAATGGTATACAGTCAACAGCTTGCAATAATGTTCACCGATGTATCAAATGTGAGCCCAGTGATCACACAGACGAAACCCTGGGCGAATTGATCTATCCGAAAAATCTTCAGCGAATCCAACAAAGTTAAAATTAGCGAACAAATCAAAAACTTTCTTCCATTACTGAACTGACACGAGGTTGGTATAAAATATTTCATTCGATCGATGCTCCACTTCATTGGATTCGACTTGACGCAGCAACGAACAACCACACCAAGAGGACGACCACGTGTGGATCATCGACTCGGATCAATCCGGCTCTGAAGAAGACAGAGACGTAGGAACGTTAGTCGAATAAACCTTTTTTTTCTATGAAACTCGGGTTAGTTTAATAACCCAAGAAGGTAGTGATCATTAGCTGAGGCGAAACAACGATCGGTTCGAAAACTAGTGAATCGCTTTGTGGTGGACAATAAAATACCGAGCTGCAGGATGCATTACGCGCCAAAAAGCGGATCATATTGAATGGCGGGAATCGATCACCGTCCTTCCCGTGTAAAAGAGAACTGTCGACTGAGCTTGTTCATTCGATCAGTATTCCTTCCTGTGGATTCGACTCGATGCAACAATGAATAAGCATATCTCGAGGACGATGAGCTGTACATCATCGACTCGGATCAATCCGGCTCTAAAGAGGATAAAGACGTCGAAACGTTAGCTGAATAAATAATTTATTCCAACCTCCTCTGGGTTAAATAGTTGAGGAAGGTGTTGAATAACAACGCCGAGGTTATTAAAAGTCGAGTTTTAGAAAGCAAGAACTATAAATATTATCTTCCGAAAATTCTTTACGAACCTCATGAACTTCCTTCGGTATACCAAGATATTGAGTTTAAAGTTCCAGGTGATTACTAATAGCACCGCTATAGTAAAAACATGGCCGATGGAAAGGCAAAGGGGCCTTGGTCGGTGCGGTGAGCAGCACGTGAGCCCCTGGAAATGGTAATAGCGGGTTCAAAGCCCACCTAAGATCCCGAGCTTTGTTCATATCTCAGCATCCTTGTGGTTGTATTTCATATAACACCGCGCCAAAAGAAGAATAGGCAGTAAACCAAAAAGTAGAAAATTGAAATTTTCACTTACTTGACAAGGTTTTTGAGGAAAAGACCGCAATTGATCTGTAGGTTGCAGCCACAGCGCTTCCTGAAGCATATTTTTGATCTGTAGAGTGCAATAAGTCGGTGACCCTGAGTTTACCTCAACGACTTCCACTGTGTGCCATTGCCATGAGTCTTTGACATTAAATGAAGCTGAAATAGAGCAATGAGAATACAGTAGGAAGCAACCACTTTGCATACCGATTTTTGCTGATGCTTAGCTACTCAACAAGTGCTTGATGAAGATTAAGGATGATTCATAGCATTGCCTACAAAAGCATGAAAGCGATACGAGCTTCCACCTATTAAGACAGCATTATATTTCGCGTCGTCGGAACTGAGCGCGTTATAAAAACAAAAGAATAAAACTCTCGACGTTGATCAATCCCAGAGGGATGCGCCATGCATTCGACTTCATTAAGCAGGTTTGGAGGTGACTAAATGCATATCTAGCCTTTACAATAACTCGCGGATGCCTACCGATGTATCCACCCAGCGCTGCTATCTTTACAGAGAAGTCTGGCACCAACCTGTCGACCCTGGAGGAATAGAAGAGTTGGTGGACAATGGGCGTGGGAATCGATCCCATGTGTATTGCAGGGAACCTCCGACCACTGCGCCACGTGCGCCCATATCTCTTTGTGTATAAATGACATCCACGGTGCTATTTACCATGAGTTCCTATGATCCATCATATAGAAGCATCCCTGTCAGAATTTCAAGGTGTTCTGCCAGTTATGCGTCTACTTCACAATTTTTTATACCCGTACGTTCCCAATGGGAGCGTATGGCGCACTGGTTGGAGGCGCCGCTGCGACGCACACGTGGAATCGATCCCGGCGCCGCTGCGACGCACACGTGGAATCGATCCCGGCGCCCATGGCCCACCAAGCCTTCCATCTCTCCGGGGTCGGCAAGTTGGTACCAGGCTTGTCTGGGAGGATAGCAGCACTGGCTCGATACATCGGTAAGCCACCGCGAGTTATTGTAAAGGCCAGATATGCATTCAATCACCTCCAACGATACTACGATACGATACAGAGTTATACCTTTTGTAATGGCTCACAGTTCCCACGTCAAACCCAAGACTAAACTAAGCTTGCTTATTTGTTCTAAAAATGAACTATCTGAATATAGTCGAGGAATTCAGAAGTTTGGTGATTCGAGTAAGGAAGAGGAGCTAAAACACTTCGTGAACAAGTACATTTGTGAGTTGGTGGCCTTTTCTTAGTTTTCATCTACTTTTCTCAGTTTTTCACCAACCGTATAGAAGGTACTTCATTAACAACCAAGGATGTACGAAGATTTGTTATTATAGGATTAGTTTTACACAATTACAATGGTAAGGCTAGCAACAAAATGAAATTCAACTTACGCTCATGCTCATGATGTACGTCCAGCGCTCTAAGAGCCAAATTTCGAAATAGTGACTTGACTATTGTTCGGCGAACTTCAACATACCTGTCCCATCGTAGTATTCTGCCACTGCAGAAAAATCCACCACTGCTTCAGGAGTCATGCTCCATATTTTACTCGGATATGGAGCGAAGGAGAACATATATGAATACTATCGATGTTTTCCTAGTAACATCACAGAAGTTTGCACAATTTTTTTGTTTTATTTAACGGTTAACGTTCTTTTTAGGGAGATGGAGATCAACAGAAAAATTTATGTCTAAAATAGAATACTCCGGTAAGAGGGATCACGTGGAAAAATCGATATCCGAAATAGAATATGGGGTAGGCAAGAAGTCATAGCACGTAGGAGGAGCATACGCACTCGACCTCGGAAGTTAGGTGGATGGGCGTGGCCAGACCTGCTACTTATCCCAAAGAAATCCTGTCAGGTGGATATTGCTAGGGAGGACATTGCTGTGAGGACGTGATTGCGGGAGGCATAAATTTGGCCAATCTACATCATATCTGTTAAGATATACAACAGCATCAGAATCTACACACTTGTCCACACTGTACAAGGTGTTTTGCTTCAGCCATCGACTGTGGTATTCCATACTGTTTACCTTTTTTGTTATTTCGTCTCTTTCCTTCTTCTTTCTTGTTCCTTTTTCACAGTTTCATTTCCTGTGCAGACCTTTTCATTCCAGGGCTGGATAGCTCATTTTTTATCCACCAAAGCTGCGCTCATCTTTCTGATATTAACAATGACAGCGCCTCGTCCTACCAGTAGCGGAATCTGAAGGATTCGCGATGAATTGCCTCTAAAAGGATGCCGCTGAAAACTCGAAAAATCCAAGAAATAAAAAACAGTAGAAACATAGTGATAATGAGATCACAAAGAGGTTTCTAGCAATGTACAGGGATTGTGGGAAGCAGTAAAAGTCGCATTTTTAGCCATCCAAAGAGAACGTAATTTCAATCCGCATTCTCGTGCCTACCATTCTCGTATGGTATTCCACATTTTATTCACATCTCACAACTGAGACTGTTGTGAAGTTGAACATGTAATGAAATCAATCATGCTGCCAGGAGTCTTTAAAATGTTTCAACCCAAATTTTGTGTCCTCACTATCATCGGTTCTCAGTGTGATCAAAATATCAAAAGGCAGGAAACCATCGTAGTGGTGCAGGAATAAATGAAACGTTTCAATATTACGCTTATACCAATCCAAGGGAATGCTTAGGAGTGCGACTAAATTCTCCCTGTCATTTACTAAACTACTCTACTTAGGAAATTATGTGCACATCTGTTCTTGGTTAGTCTTAAAGTTTTCTGTAAGGCGACTTTGGATAGTCATTGTTACCAGTTTTGACTGGTCGTTAGGAAATTTTATTCAGCGTGGTATATCGTGAGTGGAATGTTCACTCGTAATCCACACGCATTATATGATAGAGTTGAATGTTGTTCAAAAGAGTGATGCCTTGATAGTTTTATTCGTTCTTTTCTTCCTATATTTCATCCGCTTTCAACTAAGTGACACTTTGTTAAAATGCTGGTTTCACCCAAGTGAGAATTCGTTAAAATGGTGAAGGGGTAGCTTATGGATATGAAGTAGATCTTTGTTTTGTACTCATAATACATTGCAAGTAATTCTGATAAGCGTACTATTAAGCATAGTTCCTCCTAACGGTTTACTGCCTCATCATGGCTGGGAGAAATTACTGAGTGTCAGACTGCGATCTACACTGAGGGGATTCTTCCCACCGGCGAGGTCTCTCAGGCTGAGAAAGAGTCCGGTGTTTCCATTAGGAACCCCAGCTAAAAGTAAAATAATATCAAGATCGACCACGGTCCTGTTATCAAACTAGTCGCATGGTGGCAAATCTCCCTCTTATCCACAAAGGCGGCGACTGCCTGCAGTCGTGATGACCTGAGGCAAATTTTGCCCAGGATGATCTCGGTGCTCCAGTGAGCCACAGTAGCGAAACCAGCAAAACTCCAACAAAGTTGAAAACATGCTGAGGCCCGCACAACCAGTAGAGACGGGCCATCCAAGTATCCAAGTAAGTACTAAGCATAGGTTATCGTTCGATGAATAGAGCAAGTTCCTAGCTGATGAGAATAGAAGAACGGTGTAGGTTTAGATTCAGTAAGTCAACCCAACAATCACGCAATGACCACCGTCATGGATCTTTGATTGCCGTTTAATTGAACGCCGGACTCACCACTAATAGATGCAGCATCTTCGGCAGCAGTGTTCAACTAAAACAAGAAAAGAAAACAGAATTCACAACCTGCACATAATTTGAATGGCTTGAGGGTATCCGTCTGGTTGACGTGTTCAGCTCGTGTTAGGAACTTCATTCAACATGATTTTCAATAGCAGGTGCGTTGCAAAACCAGTAAGAACCAGTGAAACGGCAGTCTTCACCGTTTCGACTTCCTTCATTCATTTGTTTTCTAGCAACTTCAACCAGTGTTGATGAAATTCGAGTTCATTGCAAGCAATTGTAGTTTTTCACAGTAGTATTCACTAAATGACTTTTCCACGTTGGATCAACTCGGTCGATTATGTACTAATTAGTAAAGCAACTAGTGTATGAAATGAAAGAGTAGAAGTAACTATGTGCTCATGTATCATATGCAAGTCAGATGCCGGAATGTGGCATAGGCGCTGCAGGAAAGGCTTATTGCACATTTGCGACAAGTTAACTGTAAAAGTCGTAAGATGCGAAAATAATGGCCGCTTTCAACTTCGATTAAACATACCTCTTTTCATAATGATTTTTCTACTAAGGGCAATGAAAGTTGTTAGAATGCGTAAATCTTGGCCTAAAAGGTAAAGCCCCTCTTATTTTACCAAAGTGAAATTCTGATTTTCTGGAGCACATGGCATACACTTCTTCCACTTTATTGCTTCAAGGCTTATAGTACTTGGATACCTGGATGGCCCGTCCTCACTGGTTGTGCGGGCTTCAGCATAATCTCCATTTTTCGGAGATTTGCTGGTTAAGCCATTATGGTTCCCTGGAGCCCCGAGGTCAGCCTGGCCAAAGTTTGTCCCAGGTCGTCACCAGCACAGGCAGTCGCCGTCCTTGTGGATCAGAGGGAGATTTGCCATCATGCGACTAGTTTGTTACCAGGACGGTGGTGGATTCTGATGTTGGTTTACTCTTAGGTGGGCTTCCCGATGGAAACGCCGGGCTCCTTCGCAGCTTGCGAGACCTTGCCAGGGGGGTGAATCCCCCGCTGTACATCGCAGCCCGACACCCAACAACACCTGGCAGCCACGACGTGGCGGTAAACCGTTGTAAGGAAAGCTCGCATTTCCAACAAGAAAACAAAGGTAAAAATAGGAACGATAATGCTTCCCAATCCATCGTTATGCTTGCAGCTTCCGCTTTTCCGTCGGAAATTCTAAGAACCCGAATTTCATCTTTTAAGATTTCTCAGCTTACGCTTAGACAAGATTGCAATGAAAGTTTACTTGGCTAATTTTTGAAGTGTTCGTCTTCTTCAGAGCTAGATAGATCTGAGTCGGTTGTTCACAGCCATTCGTTCTCGCGTTGCGGTGCTTCGTGGTCGTATGTAGTCAAATCATTTGGAGTGGAGTACTGCTCGAAAAACCTCACTCGGCAGTGCCACTTCTATACAGAACGGCTGTCGCAGATTGTCCACTGATTATGGTTTGTATTTTTATAGATAACCCATTCTGCAATAGTCATTGTTATATTAGTTGGCACGCAACAGATCAGTAGTTTTCGTAAACGACTATTGTTTAACCTGGACATAAATAATCAATGTCTTTTAACACTCTCACTACGTCGCCTAATCACGGGTTTGTTGCGCATTTTCAGCCTTTATGGGCTTGCTGGTTTTCCCAAAACAAACAATAGTTCTTCGATGGCTGAAGACTTCGTGGGTTGTGGCATCGTTGGGGGTGGTTGAATGCATATCTGGTCCTTACAATGATTCGCGGTGACCTACCGATGTATCAAGCCAGTGCTGCTATCTTCCCAGACAAGTCTGGTATCAATTTGCCAGCTCCGGAAGGATGGAGGGCTTAGTGGTCCTGGTGCACCGCGGTCAATCCCATTTGTACTGCAGAGCGCCTCCGACCACAGCGCTACACCCAGCCCTAGCGGTCGATTGGCACCCAATTTCCTGGTTAGTGAGCTCGTTTGGAGAACAGTTCTTTTGCATATTTCTAGGTGCAGAATAGAGCTTTTCCCGAGCAACGCACAACACATCATTTGTGTTCTACAAGTTACCTATTGGTAACAAGTGGTATGGGAAAATAGTTCTCTGTTGTCACTTTCTATTTACTGCCTGCTCTTTTTTAATGGAAGAGTATTGTGTGAAATACTGATCTATAGGTCAATCGGTCTACCCATAGGTTCGCCTCTGGAAAAGGTAACAACGTGTTCGGTCCACACTGCATACACCAGCGGTCCGGAGTTTTCCAAATACCTTAACATCATTATGATCGTATTTAACATAACACCCTGCCATCAAAAAAGTATACGCAGTAAATAAAAGGTGAAAACTTCGTGATTTATAGCACAGCTTCAGCTTAACAAGGTTCAATGGCGACTCGTGCTCCCCAGATCAATTCCATCGGCGGGTGATTGCTGATAGCACCTACAGGTCAATAACACGGCTGAGAGAAATCGGAAACGACAGGCTCGCATGGCATAGTCGTGAACGCTGTATCCTCCGAAATGGGTAATAGCGTGTTCGCTTCTCACCGCAGACTCCAATGGTCCGGAATTTTATAAATATCTCAATATCATTATAGTTCTTCGTGTTAAAGTAAAGCACCGAAAAGAAAATGAGACCTATAGGTGTCTTATCGACCTCTACCGCTAAGCTATTATGACACTTATAGGTGTCACTCGTTGCAACATTTTTCTTTCACGACTGCGACCACATTCGGTGTCGGACTCGTCGGAGCACGGCGTCTCATTGGAGCGCAGACGAAATTTGCATTAAAATGAGCAGGTACGGTCTGTGAGTTCGCTCAAGAGGCACGGCACATTGGTTTTTTGAGATTATCGTTCTCCTATTCGGTCCCTTTATGTGTCTTCGTGTTTCCCTAACTTCTACGTATCCGATATGACCTTCTTCTTACACTTCCACGTTCTTACACCATATTAAACTATTGCGCGTGTGGTGAATGAAAATTCGTCCATCATCCAATCGTAGCGCTGTCAGCATTTAATTAAGCTGTATAAGTAGTACAAAGAATATTATGACGTTTACTTTATGGCTTTAATACCTTCCCACTTCACTCAATACCCGGGATCCATCAATTCGGCTGGAAGTGAGATAACAACTAGTTATTTGTTAAAAATAGTGCTTCACTCAACATGCAGTACCAGTTGTTCGATAACTCTCGCCAGTTTCTCAATGAATAGTGGATTTTAGGAGTTGGGACCTTATAAGACTTACGGCAAAAGTTTTCCCTATTGTTTTATAGTTGTTGTTGCTACAATGTATCCGCTCATTCCTTGTGATACCATGATTCATCTTTGCGTCATGGGCAGAAGAGGCCAGGTGGTCTAGTCTTTTCGTGCGCAGGAGCATCAGCAGTCAATACGTCACTTATTTCCATTATTTCTATATATACGTGTGTATGTACATATTTATTTTAGAAGACCATTTCATTAACCAAGCATAAGAAGTCAATATATTACTCCATACCTACTCACACGCACTATTATCGCATATTTCATGTGTATTATATTTATATCATATCGTATACACTGTGCCGTATTTATCCATATTATATCGTAGATATTATGTCATTAGTGGTTATATTTATATTTATATAATTTATGTATTGTTGCATTTTTGTTTCTCGTAAATTCAATCTTTCAGATTCCAATACGTTCCCTTTAATTTGGTGTTAGTTTAAATTTGAGGAAACAAAATATTCTCTACTATGTGTGCATTTTAATCTGTACAAATCGTTGTATGTCGAAGGTTTCTCTTGATGTTTCGTGACTCTCATGGATCTCCGCCATGGAGGGCTCTTAATGAACGATGGCTCGTACCAGGTGGCGTTTAATTGCAGATCAAAAGCGACCTTATACTTCATGCAGGTAGATCCAGGGATGGTATCCATCGTTCTGCTGCGCCGATTTATCACGTACTTTCTGCATTTATGAGGCTTACACATGCATGCGTGCGTGGGTGTGTTCTCGTTTATGCAGATTGTATTCTACTGGTTGATTCTACCAAAAACCTATAATAAAGTGAAGACGATGTACAACGGAGGTGGTTAGGAGTCGCCTCCAATAAATGAGGGCCTCATCCGCTCAAGGAGAAGCCCGAAAGCTACCCGTGAGCATGCTCAACATCCACGCTCGGAGCTCAGTAAACTACGCGTGGATATCAAAAGCCCAACGGGATAAAATAAACGGGTCTCATTCCATTGACCTCGAATGACCTCCCGATATGGCACGACGAGTACGAAGAGGCCGATGAAAAGTTGGAAGATCTTCGTGGACAATGGATTCGAAGAAACGAATCGAACGTGAGAAGTGCTGGGATCCGCACAGTAGACGTGAAGTTGGGTCATATAAAATAAATAAAATAAACGCTTTCCGGTCCTCTCTTCCCCCAACTTTTGGGAATATGTCTTAATTTTTCAAGATATGATTTTACTTTTAAGTATAATGTATTTCCGAGGTAAACAAGTTCTATTAGGTGGTTGTTAAGTGTCGATTTTCCTTCTTGTTGTTTACCAAGAAATTCCTACCGTTGACCATCGAGCGACTAGTGAAGGCAAACTATTTATGGTTCATGTCGACTTACGAACTAGTTAGCACTTTCTCCTCTTTCGAGAGCGAGAGACACGAGCAATATCAAAACTTTTCACTTAGAGATTTCGTGTAGTAGTATCAACATGAGGTTGACATTCCTCCTCTCATGAGCTTTAAATCACGTGAAGCCCAGTCTCTCGCGGCTCTTCTCCACTAGTTATCATTACAGTACATAATGCTTGCGACTCACTTGTTTACCGACGTCTTAGCCTACTTATTCACTCTATCTTTCAAACAAAAAAGGTAGGAGAATGGCTTGCCGCCGCGAACTTCGTGCAGGTGCCTAACACTGGCTGGGTGTGGTCGAGGAAAGCGAGAGGTCTAGTGATATTGGCGATGATGGAAATGAGAGCCACGCGTAAACTACGCCTTTCATTTCATTCTTTCGTTATGGTAGCAGTTTTATTACTATGGTTACATTGCCAGATTGTTTTTGCGGTTCTCGCTCCTTATTTGTCTCACTACACTGACAGTTGCGTAGTTCATAAAATCTACAACGAGTAGAAAATCTATTGGTGCGCATTGACGCGTTATGCCTTTTCACGCCATAATTTCTGGTGACTATTTAGCTTGGAAATGATCCAACGGTTGATGGTATTGTGTTCCATGCTAAACATTTCATGCAGTCTTCATGTTTTACTATGGAATCCGACAATAGGCTCTAGCCACGTGCGGTTCATGGGAAACATAGCTGATATACTTGCTGGAGACGGTCATAATGTGGTTTGTTGTACAATGTTTTTCTGTGTCTCCTTTATTCATCTAACAGTATGTAAACTTTCCTGTTCTCTAACGCTTCAGAATGCTAAACACTCATAGCATATGTCAGCTTTAATTTTTTCGTCCGAATTAACGAACTGTAAGTCATACAATGGTGTGTGTAAAGTAGTGGTCGTAAGCGCCCTACAACACGCATTTGGAATCGATTCCCACGCCCATGGCTCACCAAGCGTTCCATCCATCCGGGCTTGGCAAATTCGTACCAGGCTTGTCTGAGAAGTTAGCAGCACTGGCTCTATACATCGGTAGACCACCGCGAGTCATTTTAAAGGACAGATATGCGTTATTTTCACCTCCAAACGATGATTAATGAAGTCGAAAGTCGAATGCATAACACATCCTTCAGTGATTGATCAACGCCGAGAGCTTTATATTTTACCCTTTTAAGCCAATCATAGGATAGAAATTCGTGGCTAAAATTCAAGAAGAAAAATCTTCTATGGGCGACCGCCACAGTAAGATCGAAGTGGCAAGTATTTTTTAACTGGATCATGTAGCTTCTCAGACGAAAATTTTGGCAACCATTCTCGAGTCACAATCATTGTTCATACCTACTCTTTACTGTCCAACGTTGACATGGAGTAAAACGTTAACTTATGTGACATCGAAGATATTGAAAAGCTTCACGAAGTTTTTTCAGACGATCGTCGCTCCTCTGTTGGACCCGCATGTTAGTGCGGTTGGACATACATCGGTAGCGGTCCGATTAATACCTTACCAGTCGAAATACTACGATATTAATGAGTGGTTAGAATTCGAGTAAGCGAAAAAATTGCCGCTATCAAAGTTCTTCACGAAAAAGCACTAGTGGAAGTTATGCATGAATATCTATTCCAGGATTAAGGGCACGCACTTATGGGAATCTCCCATAACAGAGGGGCGAAGCTTCACCGTGAATGGTATGGAGAAGTTCCACTCAATAATGAGAAGAGTAGGTCAAGGTATGCATTTGCTGTATTGTTAAAGCAATAAAAGATAACAATAGTTTTTGATTTGTTCAATTTTTTTTACATTGACCATCTTTACGTCTATTATGCAAGTCTTACCACTTCTTGCATTTATTTCGTTTCTTCTCATTCACCATCGAAGTTCTTCGAACGTCTCTGCATTTAGCTCATATCTCTGCTTAACGATTTTTTCTTCTTCACAAATTTTGTTGAATGCCGACGGAGTTTATCTTCCCGAAATCCTAGGAAGGGTTCGAACGAGCTCCTGGAGAGCTTGGTCCTTCCAGGGGAGCAAATACTAAGGGAGGAATAATGGCTATACATTTCTATTGTGCGGTTCTAATTTATTTTCCAGTTCGACGACTAGTGTTCCTCGAACGTGAATTTAGTAATGTTTACAAAAGCTCCGGATATGCGAAATGCTGTTTCCTTGGAAGACTGAAGACATTTCCTCGTTTTCAGGGATATTCGAAGACGTCGAGCTCCTGAATGAACTTCGTGCCGCTAAATTTGACGTCGCTCTTTTTGAACTCTACGACTGGTCAGCCGTTGCTGTGTTCGAGTTCAGTGCATACCATCAATCACTCATTGAGTGTTTTTTATTATTCTTTGACATGTTGGCTGTTGAAAAAGTAATGACGCCACTGATTTCATTTTGTTGTTTAGATGATAGGAATTAAAAGGACTGTATTGACGTCAGCACTGGGCTTCACGCCACACATCCAACAAGTGCTTGGTTTCGCCTCAAATCCAAGCTACGTTCCTGGTCAGTATGAGTCTGTCGACCAACAGATGTTCTTAGTTTGGAAACGTTCGATGTGTGCAGTATGGACTGATTAACCACGTCAAAGAACGGCGCTATTATATCTTCATTCGCCTTTTATATAAAAGGTGCTGGAAAGAAATCGATTAAAAGTGATGCTTCTGGGAGAAGTGCAGCATGTTTTCAACGGCATCTTATTTCTGCAGAACCACGTTTCTTTCCCCCTTTAGCGGCGCAGGTTTTTGAGAAAATGGAGAACATTAGCGGCAGTAACCTCTGTGCAACAAGGTAGGATTGAGAACGTGCAATAAAATTCTGAGTGTTTTTGTAGGGGTTTCCCCTCTTAAATTTTACACGACAAGAATTGCAACTGGAGTTGAGAGCTTTATGAAGTACTATTTTATCAGAATAGGCATACCATCAGATATTGTTCAGGGCTTTATACATCGTACAGTGATGAGATGTCTTTCTGGGAGAGGCTGGACAATTTTAAATTTGCCATTGAGATGCACTACCGTTTAATCTCTTGGCAGCTCCAACTTCATGCGCTGGCCAGGAAGGTTTCTCCAGGATTTCCACATCTCCAAGATCTTATCAAGGTGGAACATAGATTTATAAGCTGTACCACACTTTTAGTATTCGATTACAGCAGAAAACTGGAATCATATTGATGAATGTCAACGAATTCACGGAATCACCACGTCCTACAGCAAATATTGTGCGGTATGTAGGAGGGTCAACTATCTATGAGCCGAAACCTTTGGATGAGGTGCTTTATTCTGTCGGTATTAGGATTTAGGCCTTTTACATTTCGTTACACTATAAGCGTTGGTAGGGACGCGTGTGACGCAATGGTCGGAGGCGCCCTGCAACACGCACGTGGAATCGATTCCCGTGTCCATGGCCCACCAAGCCTTCCGTCTCTACAGCATCGGCAAATTGGTACCAGACTTGTCTGGGAGGATAGCAGCACTGGCTCGATACATCGGTAGGCCACCGCGAGTCATTGTAAAGGCCAGATATGCATTCAATCACCTGCAAGCGATACTTAATGAAGTCGAATGCATGGCGCATCCCTCAGAGATTGATCAACGCCGAGAGCTTTATCGTTTTTATTTTTTTGTAAGTGTTGGTGTTTGCTGAACTTATAGTTTGTGAAGTTCGTTTTATTTCTCTTTTTGAAGCACCACAGAACTGATTCTCTTGTTGATATGTCAGCGATCAATGGAAATTCGAAACCAAACCGGTTTTCTTGTGTGTACAATGTTTATGTCGAAAGGAGCAACAAATGCTTTTAGTAGTGCGATGTTTAGGAAAACTCCATTGCTACAAGCAGTTTAATACTCACTTGTGGGTCATTTGACAATGGAGCTTTATTCTTTACTTTTCAGAAGCTTAGTGCCATTCTCGAACGGCGAAGTGAGAACGTCTTATTCTCTCTCGGCTCTCTTGCTACATCAAAGGGGATGCCAATGTGGCTGAAACAGGGTAGGTTTGAAACCACTGCCAGCTTTCCAAAATAGTATACCATGGATATTTCTGCTACTATTTGTCACTTGTTTTATATAGATACAACATTATAAAGGTTTGAGTTACGAAGTCCTTGAGGACCCAAGAAATCGAAAACAGCAGTGTAGCAATTCATTCCAGTAAGGTTGTAGAGGTCAATATGAGCGCATTCATTACTTGATGAAAGACAGTAAAAGTTGATTCTTTATTATCCGGCATATAGAAAAGCTAACATTCAATGCCGACTGACATTAAAACTCGGTATAGATAGTCAATATTGTATCACTGGCTTTCTTTTAACCTCAGCAATAATCAGTAATTCACTGTTTTTTTTTTGATGAGGAAAGACGAGGTTATTACTACAGCATTTATTAATCCACAATCGGGGCAGAATTGGTCCAGACTGACCTCAGGATTCCAGAGAACCACAATAGCTCAACCAGCAAGTTTAAAAAAAATTGGAGATTGTCTTGGCGGCCGCACAACTAGTGAAGACGGGCCGTCCATGTGTCCAAGTAAGCATTAATACACAATAGTTGACGTTTCGGTGGTTTCGTCTTTTTCAGACAGTGAAAATGTCAATCGACATGTAATCTTTTCCGGCAAACACTTTCTAAACCTCAGCAGGCCTAATACATAAATTTTTCTCCTTTTCATTAGAGCCACGATGATTTGAGTTGAGTGTCCACAGTTGTTCATTTTCTTCCTGTTGGCCTCTGTTGCCGTCGCATCATCGAAACGAATCGAAAAGAGTGGAACACCACACACATGATGTAGATTTGGATTAACAACGTGGCGACAACAAGAATCTCGTTTAAGCCAAAACCAGAATACTATTGTTTACTCTGTAGCTCATCACTGCAATGATATATAGGTTGAGTAAGTGTACATATACCCTATCGAGAGGTGTTATGACCCAGCAATGAAGAGATCTATGCCCTTTGGATAGTAGGTCACTCTTTTTGAGTCCATCGATGCTATGGTGACCTCATCAAACAAGTAAGGCCTATAAGTTCTTCAAGCACCATTGATTATTTTTCTTATTCGCGTATGATCGATTTCGATAATTTACAACAGTGTTTTCAATTCCAAATTTCATTTAACCTAGTTATGGTTAATTGATGTCTCAGTTTATTGGTGAGACCACAAAAGTTTTCGTTTACAAATTTTATTAAGGCTAATATTTCGGCGTCTTCATCTTCTTCGGACCAACAGTGATTCGTGTGTCGTGATCACAGCATTGATTCTCGCTGCGTGGGTTTTCGTAATTATATGGAGTTGAATCTAATGGAGTGGAACACCATGTGAATAGAGTAGCCTAGTAAAGTAAAGTATAGCAGTGCGGGTTTGTATAGAACGGCTCTTCATCAGGTTCCATCCAATATGACCTGTTTTCACCCTGAGCACACACCTTATAACAGTCGGATTCAGACTAGGTGGACTATACCAAAACAATATTTTCAACGAAAGCACTACTAGCTAACGCTACTTCATACATGCAGTGAGTCACTCCATTGGATTTGACAAGGCGCGGCTGCAAAGACTTGACCTATATATATATATATATATATATATATATATATTTGGGATAGCACAGTGGTTAGTGATGCCGTCTGATCTCCGGTCCGGCGGTCTCCTGCGTTCCATGAGAGACGCCTAAACATGGCTTTGTCCAAGAATACAAGGAAAATTCACTCGGCCAACATTCATCGTCATTCATAAAGAGACCGAAATAATTAAGATGCAGGAGAAGCAATATGCAAAGTGTTCGTAGACCTCTGAGGACAATGTGTGCGAGCAAAGCGACAAAGTAGTAGGATCCACACGGTAGATTAGATGGTGAGTCATGTGAAAAACATATATATATATATATATATATATATATATATATATATATATATATATACATATATATATATATATGCCAGAGATTGGGCGCTTGTTTAGAAAGGCGCTTCAGACATTTCATTGATAAGGAATTGATGAATCCCAGGAAGGACATTCTCTTGACCTCGGTATTGATCACTATCAATATCAATCGTCACTGTTTTTAATACTGATTAAGTTAAGAACAATGAACCGATAAACGTTCTTATAACGCATGTTCGTATTCCTTCGCAGAACACATTGTGTTGAGACACTCGGCAGGACGCTCTCTGTGACTTAAGAAACCATTGAATTAACGGGAAAATTACCGCTGGAGACTGATGGGTTATGCCAAAATGTAGGAAATGGAAAAATAAAAGAGGCGGGAATTGCTGAGACTTATATGCTCACCGCTTTGAATTGTACTCACACTACTGCTCACATCAAGTTGTAGAAGGTGAGCAGGCGTATCGTGCTTTTGTTTGTCAAATTATGCAAACTTCTTTTTGTGATTCAGACTCGGTTTCGGTTTTGTTCAGATATTATGAATGCCTTCTCTGCGTTCCCGAATACAACATTCATATGGAAATACGAGGACGAAGATGATGCAGTTCTCTTTGAAAGGCACTCCAATATAGTGCTGATGAAATGGGTGCCACAAACTGACTTATTAGGTTTGTACCATTCCTATAACAGAACTGACACAACCTTGAAGGTTTGTATGTGTTTTACTCGGCTGAAATTGATATGCGTGTGTAATCGCTGACGATTACGGTTGTCTCGACTACTATCTGTTATAAATCTCATTTTTGTAATCTTATTCGTGCATGGCCGGAAGCAGTTTAGGCTTTAGTTTTGACACTGCATAGAATTCGACTTGAGTTGATTTCTACTGATATGTTAGGCAGATCGGTGAACGTTAACTGATTTCGATGGGAAGCACTTCCAGTGAAAAATCTGGCGTCAGACTACAGGAGTAGGGAAATATTTTGGTAGATTTTTTAATGTTGGCTTGCTTTTTTGGAAATTTACCTTTGAAAAGCATTCAGGGTAAGGAACATTCTAGAAGAATTAGTAAATATATTTCGAGCAATGTCTCTTCTATAAGCATTTCAGATCCACATGTTCCTAAGTGCACCAGTTTTTACAAAATTACCAGAGTCTACAAGAAAAGCACCATCTAAGCAGCTGTATTAAGATCAGCTCCAAATTTTATTTATTTGTTCATCGGATATTTTCTACTCTCTGGTTGTAATTGTTTTTCTCCAGCTCCTATGGTGCAGTTGGCTGTGACAAACTAATCATTTCAGCTAATAAGCGTTTGTCACTTTTCATCACACACGCTGGAAAGAACTCGGTGCTTGAGGCTATGTCCTTTGGCAAACCGATGGTTGCAATTCCTCTGTTTGCGGATCAGATTTTAAATGCCAAAATCATGAAGAGAAGAGGACTGGGTTTGGTGATCAACAGACGTGATCTGAACTGCGACACCTTAAAAGCAGCGATACGCGATGTTCTAGCAGACGGGTGACTTGCATATAGCTCTTATTTTTTTACAATTTTACTCTTTTTCTAGAGCAAAATTTCCAGTGTAACTTGTGCTACCCAGTGCTTTGCAAAATGAAAGATTAAAATGCGCCAAAATTTGTCATTCAAAATATGTGTAGATGGCTTTCTCCTTTTGTTTTATATCCGTACTCCGAACTATTTCGGTATCCGCTTAATATACGTCTGGTGTGAGGTCATGATTGGATAAGGAAGTACTTGATTTTTAGGAAATATACTCGTAAATCAACAACGATCGCTAAGTTTCTTCGAGATCGTCCTGCTGCCGCTCGTGCCGAGATTTCCCTGTGGGTGAAGATGGTGGCTGAAGAGGGACTAATGGATCACTTAGTATTGCAATCCAGAGACATGCCACTCATTCAGTATTACTGCCTAGATGTCATTATTTATTTAGCCTTACAGATAGTCTTCATCGCATGCATACTTTTCTACACCATAAGAATTATACTAAGCCAAATTTTCTTTCTATTTCGGAAAGAGAAACTTGAGTAGATCGCGTTCTATTTTGGGTATAGTTTCACTAGATGTCGCTTAGTCCCTGTTCTTCTCTCTAGAGATTTTATTATCAATTTTTTCTTCTATGTTAGTGGAAGTTATGTTGCGAGTGAGATGTCAGTGAAGGGTTAAAAAAGTCGTCTGACATAATTCGATTTGGTTCTTGTTACTTCACGTTATTTAAACTCTGATACTTGCCAGAAAACTGGGGCCGTTCAGTGAGAAATTATGGGCGTGCTTGTGGCTTTTGTAGCTGTTGGGATTTTATTGAATCAAAAAGCAGGCCTTGAAAGAAAACAGAAATAATGTGTTAAAATGTTTCGCACTTTCTCTGTTTGGTTTGCGGAGGTGTTTGGGTAGGTAGATTGCAGTCAACTTGTCCTTTCCAGTCCCTGAAGAAGGCGAAATTCGTCGAAACGCCAGCTTTTCCGTCAATAGAGAATGAAGAAACGCGTCATGTTTCCTCAGCAAGAGTGTAAAGAATTATTGGGTCATTGCCGAGGTCAATAGAAAGTCGGTCAGGGGAATTGCAAATAGAATGTGTTTTTATTGCTTTCTTCATGAGTTATGTAGTAGGTTACGGTGAAACTGCTGAATAACAAGGTTCGCGTGGAATTATTTCTTAACCCGAATACAGCACTATGTTCTGGTATTGCTTGCATGAGCTGAAATTATATATTGTGCGGATCATCGCAACTCTTTATTTTCGTCGTTTCCTTGCTGCTGTCATGTTCTGTCTTTGAATTTTTTCGTGTGGGTTGGGCTTTTGTCGAGGACTTTTTCTGTTCCTTATGAATTTACTTAAATATCTGTCGAGAAGTTTCTACTTCAAGTCCTGGGATAGCTGTGGTAAATTCCTCTGTCTTCACCACAGGCAGTTGGAAAACTTTCTGAATTGGAGAGAGTTCTTGTCAGACAGGTCTCGTGCCATTTTGACGAAAACAAACACTGAATTACTTGCGGTGACATAACTAGTTTCCTTCGCATTATATTGTAGTTTTTTGGATTATATAACAGTGAATGATATTTCATCCTGCTTACGCAGAGACCAGGTTTCTGACGCATGCGTTAAGGCAGTAAGTATCATGGAGCCCAAAAGGTGGGCACCCCATTAAGTGTCTTTGTTTCCTAACCACATTCTCCATGCTCATGAAAGCTCTCCAAGCCGCTTGTTTTCTTCTACTCAACTCCGGAGATAAGACGTTCATCATGTTGATTTCTCGACTTATATAGACGTAAATGGACCATTTGGAAATATTTGTTCTGCTAAGCGTGAATGGGGTGCAAGTAACCAAACCGTTCCTCAAGAACGCCATTATTGTAAAATTTGGTTGAAGACTAATTTTTCCACAGGCTTTATCAAAGTCAGCAAGTATTCATCCTGCGTGATTAATATTTGGTGGTATAAGGACGATGTCATAAGCGAAGCGATGATAGTGTAATTGCCAACCATCGATTTTCGCTCTTATTTTGTCCCATTCCAATATTTGCATAACGTTCTCGAGGGTGGGGATAAATAATTTTGGTGAGATCGCATCGCCTTGCCTAACCCATCTTTCGACATCGATGTTAATATCGTTGTATAAACGTGATATCTTTGTTGTAAAATTTTTATACAGTTCGCGAAGATTCTTTACACAGTGAGTAGAGGCTACCTGACTGTCCAAGGCTTCCATGACTACTTCGATTCCAGCTGAGTTAGAATCGATGAAAGTGAGACAGAGCGGTCTTCTGTACTCTCGCGATACTACGATAAGTCTTGTGATCGTGTCGATATGGTCTAACGTGCTGTATCCTTTTGGAAACCTTGCTTGTTCACATGGCTACCCTTCGTCCAGTGCTCAGTCATTTTTGTTCATAATTGAAAAGTTTGTAGACGACAGGCAGTACGCAGATTGGGCGATATTTGCGCATTTCGTGGAAGTCACTCTTCTCGAACGCTAACAGAGTTTTACTGGTTTTCCACTGAATGTGAGCTTTGCATTCTGGCAGGCAACGTGTGAACAGCCTAGCCAGTGTGTTGATGAGGGCAGGTGTAAAGTTTTTTAGACATTCAGGTCTTATCCTCTCAGGACCAGGTATTACTCGATTCTTCATCGACGAAATAGCGTGTATCATTTCGGAAGGAGAACCGGTGGGACGAAATATCCATTCTCCTTTACTTCATATGAGCGCAGAAGGACTACGCTGCTGAAGGTACCCGAGCGTGGCGGCAGTGAATGGTTTTCTCTATTCCTTTTCCGGAGGCGGTAGATGTTCTGTCTGTGTCGGTGTGAAATCATCTTAGTCTCATAGTTACCACAGTTGCTGTAGGTTTTGTGATTGCGGTCCCAGCTTTTGCATCTTCTACCATAACTTGTGCCCTTATCTCTTTAAGGTAGTGTTTTACCGGCTGTCTGCATTGTTTTGCAACCTCGGCGGTGAGCTGCCGGTTGGCTGTAGCTCGTGCGATTCCACGTTGGAGTATCAGCTCCAGTGTTTCTGGAGACAGAAGTCTCTTAGTAACTTCTGAACTTGCAGATTTTGTAACGCTAGCGTGAAGGTGTCGAGAAGGTCGGTTAGGTTCCTCGTCAATGTGACCAATAATGGCATTTTTTCCAGAGCCGACTAATGATCCAGATAAATCCCTATTTCATGGCGGTTTGGTAGTTTGTCTTTCGATCTTTTCGGCATTCTGTTTTTTCCGTGATAAATGGAATCTTGTGCGAAGGAGCCGATGGTCCGATGCTGTGTAAAACAACGACATCGGTTAAGGGAAACCTTCGATTTACAACGATGTGGTCTTTTTCATTATGGTACTATCCATTGCGCGACTCCCACGTCTAGCGTTGATGCTAGGCCTTCTGGAATTGTGAGTTAGCATAAATGGTCTAGGTCGTTATGATAAACTCAGGCAGGCATTCACCGTGTTCGTTCGATTCTAATCCATGGGTCTCAACGTGACGCTCTTCAGACGTTCTTCCGGATCCAATCTTACGGTTAAAATCCCCAGTAATCACCTTAAAGAATGTATGGTCTTTTCCACAGAATTTCTTCAAGTCCATGTAGAACGTTTCTACCTCGTCTTCGTCATGGCTTATTGTCGCTCCGTAAATGATGAAGATTGTCAAAGCCGGTATTGATCCACATCTCTTCAAACGTAAGCTTCCGATACTACTGTTCGTTGTTCGGGTGAGCTGACGTTCATGGCCAAACTTGTTGACGAGAGTGCTGACACCGCCAACTACTCTACTAGCGCACATTTAGAGGAACAATTCTTCTCCTGTGTTATTGACGCCTTTGCATAGGTGGCGTCTTCTTGTCTCAGCTAGCCCGTCGATGTCTTATCTTATCCTTTTTGGCTGTGATCAAGTCCTCTTTCGAGGACTTGGGTGCGGGTGAGCGTGCGTGATAGGTACAGATTATATACGTTATAGTTACCTTTGTTTATCGAAACTAGGGCGACCCAGAATGGTTCTGAGATGTAAGCGGCCTCTCCGTACTCATCCTTCCCAACTCTGCCGTATCGGCGTTGTTTTGAGGACAGGGGAATGAGGCCCGCTTATTTTGCAGTGTTTAGCGTTTGGTAGACATGCATATCTTCCTAAGCTATGACCTCGGAGAATGATAGACCCATTAGTAGCTTGCCAGTCTCTCAAGAGTAGCTTATTTGTTAGAGACGACTCCCTCCTAACAGCCTCCCACATACCTCTTACAGTCACTTGACTGCAAGCCTCATTTCGAATTGATTCGTATAATAAACGAGAATAGACGTACGCACTCATGCATGTACGTCCTCGTAAAGATAGTCCGTCCCATGGATCCACCTGGGTTTCACAAAGGTATGTGGTCGCTTTTGGTCCGGGAATCCACTATCCGCCATTTGGGGACGCGCCACGTTGCCTCGCCAACTACCGGCAATGGACCGCTCTGTGAGGGAGGTACGTTGCGTGAAATAATACATGCTGCAAATCCGGGTTACCTCTAATCTCCACAGTGGTCGAAGAAATAAATAAATCCTTAAGATGCAGACTTACACACATAATTGTGACTATCTGTGCAGATATTGCCCAACAAGGCAGCTAGTGGAGGAATTGCTGTATTCCGCACAATATGTGAGGACTGATGAAACGTCTGCATGAAAGTTTAATTATGAATTGAACCTCCTTAAAACATCTTTGTTTTTATAACCCACAATGATTTAGCAAACTATTCTGTGCAATAACAATTATATTTTTTATTTCACTGCTGTGAGCTCTTATTTGTTATTCCGCTTGATTCTTCATCAGTGATACTTCGAACACTGCAGCATCATTGTAACGTCACTTGCAAAAGCTGGAGTTGTAATATTTAGCTGTAAAACAAATTTTTAAACGAAGAGGTTTAGAAAACCAATAAGCATGTTAAAGATGAAGTTAGTCAATGAACAGAATTAAAAATTGCCGGATAAGGTGTCACCCTATTGCGCCGAATTTGCACGCATCTTCTGGG